CATGTGGTGCTGGGGGATTGAAACACGGTCCCTGTGCTTTGCTTAGCTTAGCTTGTTCTATAAGTAGGTGCTTTAGACGACTGAGCCATCTCACCAGCCCTGTTGTTTGTTTCTTGTTAGGCACATACCATGTGATTTTAGATGAAAGCCATTACAAAGAGTTACTGACGCATCATGTTAGTCCTCCTCCTGCCAGCTCAAGTTCTGAATGCTCACTTATTCGTATGGGTATGTGTTTATTTTATGTTATTTTAGAAATGTATATTTTTGTTATACAGCTTTCTGTTTTTATTTGCTCAAATTATCATTTTCCACTTTTTGTTTGTTTGTTTGTTTTTTGTTTTTGGCAGAACTGGGGATTGAAGTCAGGCCCTTGCACTTGCCAGAGAAGCACTTTTTCCACTGAGCCATTTTATAATTTGAGAATTTCTTTCTTTTTTTGGCCATGTTTGATGCCATACACTGGTCATGCCAATATTCTGGAAGCCTAAGACAGAGGATTGCACATCTGAGACCAGCCTGAGGCAACCTAATGATTTAGCAAGACTCCTTCTTAGAGTTTCAGAAAAGCAGGTGGGCATGTAGCTCAGTGTGAAGGGTGAACCCTGGGTTCAGTCCCCTGCACACACACAAACGACAGTGTTGTTGTTGTTTCCTGTACTGAGGATTGAACTTGGGACCATGTTTGTGACGCAGGCACTTAGGCCGCTGAGCTGTATCTCCCCAGCCCCCAACAGTGTTGTTTTTTTGTTTTTTTGGTTTTTTTTTGGAACCGGGGATTGAACTCAGGCTCTTGTGCTTGCCAGGGAAGCACTTATTCCACTGAGCCATCTCCCCAGCAACCCCCCCCCAAGTGTTGTTATTAAATTAGAAAAGACAGATATTGCTGCATGTGCAATCCCAGCACTAGAAAGGATGAGGCAGGAGGCTCATCGTAAGTTCAAGGCTGGCCTGTACTTCAAAGCAAGAGAGCTTGTCACAGAAAAATACATAGTTTAAAAAAATAAAATATATAGATAAGAAATTGAGAATTTGAGGTCATGTATAGACAGATCTTAGGGAGGAGTTACAGTCAGTCTCATACACTGTAACAAGCATATATGTATATGTAAGAGACAGAAAAGAGCTTTTCTACAACTATGTTGCTTTCTGGTAGGAACATTTTTAGGTTCCTACTCCTAGAATTCCACTCTTTGCTTGGAAAGACAAATTAATACATTTTTTTTTCCTATGAAGGATTTCCTCAGCATACCATTGCTGCTTTGTCTGATCAAGATGCGAAGCCTTCTTTCAGCATGGCGTAAGTAAAGACCAGTAATATTTTAACATTTAAACTCATTACTGTAAGCTATAAATTAAAAGTTGGGCTTGAAGTCTGGTTTTTAATTAAAAATTACCTTTTGAGCCAGGTGTGATGGTACACATCTGTAATCTCAGCACTCTGGAGGCTGAGGCAGAAGGATTGCTGTAAGTTCAAGGGCAATCTAAACCATAGTGAGACCTTATCTAAAAAAAAAAAAAAAGAAAAGAAATTACCCTTCATGTAGCCATAAAAAGGAAGGACTATACAGTATATTTCTGAGGTGAGGTCTTCAGGAAATGTCACTAAAGAAAAGAGGTAGAAAGAGGGAAGTGTGTAATATGCTACCAGTTATCTAAAAAGAAGGTGATGTGAAGAAAAGATACACAATTGTGCTCAAAATAAAAACAATAGTAATTAGATATAGGGAGTGAAAACTAAAGAACGTTTGTGTTGGTTGGTATGCAGGGAAAGGCAAAGTGATACAACCTAGACTTCGCTGAGTAATACCTCGTTTGAACTTTTTTTTGTATTTAGGACAGGATCTACAGGGTCTCACTACAAAGATTAGACTTGTAATGATTCTTCTGTTTTCAGCCTCCCAAGTGCTTGGATTACAGGTGAGCGCCACCACACAGTCTCAGTCACTGGCTCAGCACTCACTGGGAGCAGGGCCAGCATGGCTCACTAGGGATCAAACCTTGGCCGCTGCACTCTGCCTAAGCAGGCACTTGAGTCAGCTGAGCTATCTTGCCAGCCCTACCTCATTTGAACTTGAGTCCTTTGTATAGTATACAATTATAAAACAAAATTAAAGGAAGTGGTTTTTAAAAGTCACAGGCAAGGGGCTGGAGAGATGGCTCAGTGGTCTAAAGCACCTACTTGGAACAAGCTTGGCAAAGCACAGGGACCGCGGTTCAATCCCCCAGCACCACATGCCAGCCAGCCCCGCCCCCAGGTGGGCTGAGCTGGCCACACACACACACACACACACACACACACACACAAAAGGAATAAATAAATAATTAAAAAAAAAAAAAAAGTCACAGGCAAGACTTCTGCTTCCTGTCATTAAAGGTAATGGTATAACAAGGACTAGATTTATCCTTCTAGATGAATTATTTCACAGAGCCAAGTATGTATTACAGTGCATGCCTGTAATCCTAACACTTGGAAGGCTGAGGCAGGAAGATCAAAGAATTTGAGGCCAGCTTAAACTACATAGCAAGGCCCTATCTCAATAAAAACAAAAAAACAACAAAAAAAGTGATGGGCCAAGGATATAACTCAGTGGTACAAGTGCCTGCCTGGCAGATACAAAGTCCTGAGTTCGATTCCTGGTATCAAAAAAAAAGAGAGAGAGGAAAAAAGACAAAGGAGGGGGGTTGTAACTTAAATGACATACTGACATATTTTGAAAGAAAATTTAAAATTTGTGAAATGGAATCCAGAGTTTAAGATCAAGATAACGTATTTTCTTTAGCTCTGATCTTTTACACACACACACACACACACACACATATATGATATAAAGATATATATATAATCTTTAAAATAATTTTTCCCTCCACAGGCACCTGGATAGCAGTTCTGAGCCAGGGCTTACTTTAGGAGGTTATTTCTGCCCACAGTGTCGGGCAAAGTACTGTGAACTTCCTGTTGAATGTAAAATATGTGGTAAGAAACAAGTTATTCACTTTTAAATTAAATTTAAATAATTTATTATATGTAATATTGGTAAAAAATGTACATGTTGAGTTCCACCTGTTTCTGGATATGTACTCTCTATGAATGTGGTACTGAGGCTTGATCCTAGAGTTTTGTTCTGCTTTTTTTGGTGATCCCAGAGTCTTTGCCCATTTTTATACTTTTTTTTTTTTTTTTTTTGACAGAGTCTCACTCTGTAGTTCAGGCTGGCACTGAACTCTGCGTAGCCCAGGCTGGCCTCAAACACGCAGTGATCCTTCTACCTCAGCCTCCCGCCTCCTGGGATTATAGGCGTGCACCACCACACCTTGCCTTTTTTATACTCTTTTTTTTTTTTCTGGCGGAACCGGGGATTGAACTCAGGCCCTTGCACTTGCCAGGGAAGCGCATATTCCACTGAGCCATCTCCCTAGCCCCCTAAACATTTTTAAGAGTTTTTGTTTGTTTGTTTTGGTACTGGGACTCCAACTCAGGACCTTGTGCTTGCCAGGCAGGTGTTTGTGCCACCAAGCTATAACCCAGCCCGATATACTCTTGAGCCAGGTTCTCACTCAGTTGTCCAGGCTAGGTTCAAATTTGTGATCTTTTTGCCTGAGCCTCCCAGAGTCCTGCATTATATGTGTGTGTCACTAGATCTGGTGTGGATTTATTCTTTGCAAAGAGAAATAGATGACTTTTTAAAAATTGAGTGTCCAGTACTACATTTCCAAGAATAAATATAACATTGTAGTAAAGTTTATTTCATTTATAAGTAAGCAAGTAGGCCAGGAGAGGTCGTACATGTGGCAGAACTGACTGCCCTGGAAGCTCCTGCAGCCCAGGAAACTGAGAGGTGAGCACCTACAGTTCTGCTGGTGATGTAACTCAGGAGCAGAATGGTTGCCTGGCCTGCAACAGGGCCTGGCTTCAGCCCCCAGCACTGCAGAAGAACAAAACTGCCCTAAAGAAACTTGGAAGTATTTAGCTCGGGTTACAGCCTTTGGCTTTTCAGCTGTTGTCTTTATGGGGTTTGGCTTATTAAACATGCTTCTTTTGTGTGTTAGGTCTTACTTTGGTCTCTGCTCCCCATTTGGCTCGTTCTTACCATCATTTATTTCCCTTGGATGCTTTTCAAGAAATTGCACTAGAAGAATATAAAGGAGAGAGGTATGAGTTTTGATTTATTTATATCTGTTCATAATGGTGAACTAATACTTGAGTAGGTTGACACTGCCTTTAAGAATATAGTTATTAATTTGGGTAAGGTTACTTCCAATATAAAAAATGGTATACAGCTGGACATATTAGTGCATGCCTGTAATCCCAGCTATTCAGGTGGCTGAGGCAAGTGGATTGTAAGTTCAAGGAAAACTTGCCCAATTTAGTGAGACCCTGTCTCAAAAATAGAAAAAAATAAAGAGTTGGGGTTGTACTTGGTGCTGGAGCACCCTTGGGTTCAATGCCCAATATCACAAAAATGGGGGAGAATTCTTTACTTATAATAGATGTTGTAAAGATATCCTTTAAAGAGGTTTCATTTGTTGTTTACCTAAACTTGAACAATATTAGGATTATAAAAGTTTTTTTATTTTGGCCGAGTTTTAAAAATCTCATTGTTTTAACTTGCATTTATTTATTTACTTATGGTTGAGGTTAATAAAAAACCTGGTAGACAGATTAGAAGATAGAGTTGAAGAAATACTCCAGGAAGTAGAATAAATGGCACAAAGTGGAGTAAATGTAGGAGGATAAATTGAAAAACAACTGGTAGATTTATGCAGAATGTCCACTATAAAAATATGTGAGAAAGAAAGAAAAGAGAAAATGCAGAATAGGAGATCATCCAAGAAATGCTTTAAGACCAGGCATGTAGGTCAGCAGAACAATCTGATGCCTGGTAAGTGCAAAGTCCTGCTAAGTGCAAAGTCCTGAGTTCAATTCCCCCAACCAAAAAAGAAAAAAACCAAAAATAGTTTAAGGAAGTTTTCTGCCATTGAAGAACAGAATTTTCTAGGTTGAAAGGGACTGTCAAGTGGTTAACATATTGAACGAGAACAGACCCACATTAAAACTGTATAATTATGCAATGTCAGAATATGCAGTAAAACACCCTAAACATTTCCAGAGGGGGAAAATTAGGTCACATGTCAAGGCTCTGGAATTAAAATTGCTTGGCTTCTCATCAGCAATATTGAATGTCCACAGAGAATGTTTACATTCAGACTTTCAAGGGAAAACATTGCAGTTTGGTTGGGCCTGGCGGCGACACCTATATCCCAAGACTTAGTTCTCGTCTTCCGCAGTTGGAGGCTCAGAGCCAATACTCAGAGCCTGGAGTTAGCACTTACGCGAGCATAAGTAAATATTGCTCAGTTAAAAGTTTAGTTTTGGTTTTTTGAGACAGGGTCTGACTATAATTCAGGCTGGCCTTGAACACATTGTGTAGCCCAGGCTGGCCTCAAACTCTCAGCAATCGATCCTCCTGCCTCAGCCTCGCAAGTGTTGGGATTACAGCTATGATCCATCACATGTGACACACTGTAAAAAGTTTTGAAAATACCCCTGGGGAGCTGGAAGTGAAGTGGGGAGGGGAGACAAGATCAGTGTTTTCAGTAATAGAGAACTTTTTTGTGCTGGGGATTGGATTGAACTGGGGCCTCAGACACACTTGGCATGCACCACTGTGCTGCACCCTTTGATCTAAATCTTTATACTATTCCTTGAAAAGGAAACTGAACTGTCGTGGCGCACACCTGTAATCCCAGTACTTGGGAGGCTGAGGCAGGCAGGTTACCATGAGTTCAAGGCCAGTCTGAACTACATTTTGGGCCACTAATTGCTAACATACTGTGGAATTTTAAGAAACTGTTGGCGTTCTTCACTCTTTCTACCAAAGTTTAGTATGGAGCTAATTATTAAAAGATTCTAGTTTCTCCATCTTGACTAAATTATTTTAATTAGTGAATTTTTTTTTTTTATTCTTAAACTTTCTTTTTCAGATTTTGTTATGGATGTCAGGGGCAACTCAAGGACCAACATGTGAGTTCTAATTATTAAGTTATGTATAACAAAACAATACTATACTGTTTCCAGGAGGTTGTTGAAGACTGGGTTCACTTCAACTTATTGCCCATAAATACAGTTATACCAACTAGTCGATATAAATGGGAACAAAACCATTTAAATAGTTTTGTAAATCTGTGTTCTAGTTTTGGTATGAAGATAAGTGAAGGCTTTCTCTTCGGTTTTCAAGCTAGCTGCTTTTGTTTGTTTTAAGTGTTTTGTTTTTGTTAGTAGGGATGGAACCCAGGGTCTGATGCACACTAGGCAAGTGTGTATTACTGAGCTGCATCCCTAGCTCTGTTACAGCTCCTTTGGAAGTGTCTCAGTTACTCTTCTCTCGTTGCTGGGACAGATACCCAACACTCAAAATGAAGGAAGGAAAGGTTTATTTAGCTCACAGTTAGTGGAGGTTACAGTCCATACTCAGCTGGCTCCAAGGCAGAGCGGCACATGGCAGAGAGCAACCTTTCATGGTGGCAGCAAAGAGCAAGCGCACAAGGGGAAGTAGCAGCAGCTCAAGCAGCCAAATCCTCTTTCCTCCTCACATTGTAATGCAAGTTACCTGCCCCACGGCAGGTGCAACATCCACACCCACAGTAATCAATCACACACTCCAGGAGCTGCCCCAAGACTGCATGAGGCTTTGGGAGGGCACCTATATACAAACCATAACAGGAAAAATAAAGAAATAACAGGAAGTTATCATTTAAGGTGACCACAGATAAAAATTGTTCCCTGGGGCTGGGGAGATAGCTCAGTGGAATAAGTGCTTGCCTGGCAAGCATAAGATCCTGAGTTCAAGCCTTGTACTGCACAAAAAAAAAAATTGTTCCCATTAGCAAATATTTTTAAAGATTCTGAATACAGAGTCGGGGCCCTGGTGTGTGCCTGTAGCCTCAGCCACTGGGGAGCCTGAAATAGGATCGCTTGAACCTGAGCAACAAGTGGGAACCCACGTCAAGCAACCGCATCAAAATGGAAAAAGGAGTGTTTTTAAGATAATCAATGTGATTATGTAAAGTTACGTAAGGGCGGCCAGCTAGCTCAGCCACCTAAAGCACCTGCTTAGGCAGAGCATAGCGGCCAGGGTTCAATCCATGGTGGCACACACCTGCAATCCCAGTGCTTGGGATACTGAAAACAGGAGAATCACTGCAAGTCCGATCTATGTACTGAGACCCTGCAGACCCTGTACTAAATACATAAAAAATAAGTCATATAGATGGAAATATGTCTGTTTTTAATAGTTACATTTCCATATTTAAAATACTTGTAAAGTGTATCAAATATTAATTAGAAGTATTGCTCATTTAGGGACTGGGAATGTAGGTAAATGGTAGGGCTCATGCTTAGAATGTGTCTTAAGATCATGAGTTCAGGGGCCAGGGAGATGGCTCAGTTAGAATAAGCACTTCCCTCGCAAGTGCAAGGGTCTGAGTTTAATCCCCGGTTCTGCCAAAAAAGAAAAAGATCATGAGTTCAATCTCCAGCCCCAAAACAAAACAAAAATTTCTTGTTTATTCCACTCTAATATTTTATAAAATAATTTTATTAACTTTTACATTCCTTGGGACAAGGGGTATAGCTCAGAGGTAAAAACCTGCCTAGTATGTATGATCCTGGGTTCGATCTCTAGCACTGCAAAAAAAAGTTTGTTTTGCATTTCTCTTTTGACATCAGTAGCTTCATCATCAGTAGAACCCCTTTTTTAATTTCATTTAAATTTTTTTTTTTTTTTAATTTTAGGGGAGGGTCTACAGGGTGTTCAGGACCTCACTACTAGATCAGACTCGTAGTGATCTGCCAGTTTACAGCCTCCCAAGAGCTGGGATTACAGGCCCGTGCCACCACACCCAGGCTCAATTACCTTCTCAGCTTGCCCTGCGGGGGGCAGGGCCAGCATGGCAAGTCTGGGGATCAATCCCTGGCCCTTGTGCCTACTTGCAGGTGCTTCAATCCACTGAGCTATTTGACTGGGCCTTTTACTTTTGTGTTAAGAGTTAGTGATTGGGGCTGGTGAGATGGCTCAGTGGTTTAAAGCACCTACTTAGAACAAGCTAAGCTAAGCAAAGCACAGGGATCTCGGGTCAATCCCCCAGCACCACATGCCAGACAGCCCCACCCCCTGGTGGGCTGAGCTGGCCACACTAAATAAATAAATAAATAAATAAATTGAAAAAAAAAAAGACTTAGTGATAAAGTTTTATCCCAATTCACAAGTATCTATTTATGTAGTGCTCATAGAATTATGAGCTTTTTATCTGTGTTATATGTATCATTTGACCTGTTCCTTAATGACTTAGTTAGAAGAGGAACATAATTTTTGTAGTTGTGAGATCATTCTCTAGAAATTTTTAAACCCAGAGCCAGGGATATAGCTCAGCAGCACAGCACCTGCCTGGCAAGTACAAGCCCTGAGTTTGATTCTTGATACCAAAAAATAAAATAGAAAAAAAAAAAATCCCTAAAAAAATAACTAAAGCCATGTTAAATTTTTTGTGCTTCTTGTTTTACTCGAGTCTGTCAGGTGATCTCTAAACATTCAGAGCTAACACTTATCTGGGCTTACCTGACTTCTCTATGTTGTTACTTAATGAAGTAACTGAAAATATATTATAATAAACTGACTGTGAAGACTCAAAACCAAAATCATTTCGACTCCTTCCTCCCTCCCTCCCTCCCTCCCTTCCTTCTGTATTGGTATAGGGTCTCACTACACAGCTTGAATTCGTAGTGATCTCCTGTTTTCAGCCTCCCCAGCACTGGGATTACAGGTGTGCGCCGCCACATCTTAACTCAGTGGCCAGCTCTGCGCGAACCCTGATCCCTGTGCTGGCCTAAGCAGGCTTTCCCACTTGATCTGAGCCAAAAGGCCGAAAAGCCATCTCAGGCTTTTAGTCTGCTGCGCTGTCTCGTTGGGCCCATTTTGTCATTTGCAAAGATAGTTTGTGGGGAGCGTGACTCACCTTAGATCTGAGCTTGTGTGCAGGTGTGCAGGGAGACTTGGTTGTAATATGAACAGCAGAGCAACAATGTGTCCTCTAGCTGTGCTCACTTAACGTTTAGACGCTACTTTGGTGATTCCTTTTTCTTCTTTCTGTTGCAGGTCTATGTTTGCACTGTGTGCCAGAATGTATTCTGTGTAGACTGTGATGTTTTTGTTCATGACTCTCTCCACTGTTGTCCTGGCTGTATTCATAAGATTCCAACTCCTTCAGGTGTTTGATTCCAGTGTGAGTATACATTGTGTGTTAAAAAGAAAATTGGTGCTGGGCATGGTGGTGTACACCTCTAAGCCCAGCTCTCAGGAGGCTGAGGCAAGAGGATCACTATCAGTTTGAGGCTAGCCTGGGCTGCATAGCAAGTTCAAGGCCAACAACTGTCTCAAAAAAAGTAAATAAATAAAAGAGATTTGGGACTATAAGTAAAGTGATTTCTTTAGAAGAAGCTCCAATTAAAACATGAACAACAGTTATAGAGAAAAATCTGATTTAAAAATCTTTTTGTGGCTGGGCATGGTGGTGCACACCTGTAATTCCAGCACGTAGGAGCCCAAGGCAGGAGGATCACCACAAGCTTCAGGCCACCCTGAGCTACATGGTGAACTGAAGTTCAGCTTAAACTACACAGAACATTTTTAAAAAAGGAAATTTTTGTTACAAAAATATTTTATTAAGTTTTTTGTTTCTTGTCACAAAAATGCCTAGAATTCAATAGTATTTCATTCATCTAACTTTGTATTATTTGGAATCTTGTTCAAAGTCCTTATGCATTATTATGTGTAAATTATTTGTAATGATGAAATTGATGTGATAATGTCCTTGTTTTATAATTGAAATAAATTGATGTTTGTGATTTATTTTAATTTAGTATAAGAAGACATTAAGAGCACATTGTAAGATGAAAATTAAGCAGTGGTTATGAAATGATATGCTGCTGTCTCCTCCAGACTGTTCTTTTTGGACTTAAAATACTTGGAATTCAGTTCTAAAATGAATATATCTAGTTATGTGACTGTGACCACACACACAAGGCTGCCACGCCACCCTTTGTCCCAGTTCACCAGACAGGGATTAAAGGGAGCCAGGCCTAGAGCAGGGTGTGTCACATGCTCCTGATGGGGTCACTTAGCTGTGTGGCTGATACTTTCCCTCGATGTGGTCACAAGGCCGCAAGGCTTTGGCAACACTGGGATTCCAATACACTGGGCAAAGAGCTTGGCTTCTTTCTTTTTCTTTTCTTTTCTTTTTTTTTTTTTTGACTTCTTTCATGGTGCTGCACTGATTGCTTTTAAAATACCTGGCCTGATGGAATATGTCAAATGCCAGCACTTTGATTGGTTGTTACCTGAGTCTGGCTTCTTGTATAGTTCAGGCAAATAAAGCCAAAGTTGAGATGTCTTACTCTTTGAACCTCACTGAGCATTTCATTATCCTCTTCCACTTTCTTTCTCTGGGACATTGGGGAAACTTAAGTGGGAAGGTCTGTTTTTAGGGCCCGGGGAGCTATGTTGTTGGTGGAGCTCTTCAAGGTGTGCCCTGTTGTGAGAGGGAATAAAGCTTCCGTTCTATAACGAAGGTGTGTGCTATATATTTATATCTGTAAACGTCAGTCACTCAAGATTGAGTTTCACTGTGATGTTTATGATCTTATAAAAATTCTTAGTGAAGGACATTATCCGTATGGATGATGTAATTCTACCCTAGAGATTTTATTCAGTAAATCTTGGCTGAAGCCTAGAAATTTACATTTTTTTATTTTTTGTTTGTTTTTGCGGTACCGGGAATTGAACACAGGACTTTGCACTTGCCAGGCAAGTGCTTATTCTACTGAGCTATTTCTCCAGCCCCACATTTTTTAATACACATACATGGTAACAATAACAAAAGTAATAGATGTTACTGTTAGTATTCTTATTTCAGTGGTTTTATTGTTTTGTTTTTTGAGACAGGGTCTCACTTTGCAATTCAGTCTAGCCTCAAACTCACAGCGATCCTCCTCCTCCCTCAGCCTTAGAGCTGGAGTTTCAGGTGTGCTACCACATCTGGCTGACCCTGTGGTTCTTTGTGTGGAAACAAATTATAGTTACCAGTAACTTGGTAGCAGCTTTCTCCCTTCTCTGTCAAGAGGCAGCAGTGATGAGCATGCAGTACCTTTCATGTTGTGCAAACCTACTGCCTCTCTCTACTAGCTTAGAGGCAAGACCTTGATGGTTACCTCTGGAACTATTGTAGAGACTCATCTTACAGCTTTTAATTATTTCCCCAAGTAGCATTTGCATGTTTGATGAAGTTAAGATGAATTCTGATTATGCCAAAGGAGGACCTTTGCTTTCTATAATACAGAGGAAAACCCTGGGTTGTTGAAGATTCCAGAAAGGGGAGCTAGGATTGTAGCTCAGGGGTAGAGTGCTTGCCTAGCAAGTGTAAGTCCCTATGTCTAGTGATGAGCACTGGGGAAAAAAATTGCAGAGGGCTGTGGAGATAGCTTGGCCATCTAAGTGCCTGTCTTAGAAGCACAAAGACCAAAGTTTGATCCCTGGTTTTGCATGCCATACTGGCCCCTGAACCAGGGGCCCTGGATGCACTGTGCAGTCACTGAAACTGAGCATGGTGGTGCACCCCTATAGTCCCAATGCTGGGAAGGCTTAGATAGGAGGATCTCTTACCAGTCCGAGCTGTATAGTGCGACCGTGTGTCAAATAAATAAATTTTTTTTAAAAATTGCAGAAATACACCTATAATATTCAACAACGGAACTTAAAAAAAAATTGGGGTATAACTATGAATGTCCATTTTGTATCTGTGTATTCAAAGTGGTTGGGATAGATATATAGTTACATTCTCTTAATGAATAGAATGATTTTTTCTAATGGTGTTTGTAAGTAGGATCACAAGTCTGCATCTTTTACAGCAATTAACCACTAAGAAGAATATATGCAGTGTATTATTTGTTGAAACTGTACTTTCGATTTGATTTGAAACTGTCTCATTGCTATATGTTTATCAATAAAACTTTGAAAAGAAAAAAAAATAAAAAAAAATTGCAGAAATAGAAATGGTAAGACAGTTCTGGCCTTTAGTTTCTTTGTTGAAATTTCTCAGTATATTAATATACTTTAAGTACTTTCAAATAGGTACATTTTTACTTTGTATTCTGTATATATGTGTGTGTGTGCGCACGCGCACACTTACTAGGGATTGAACTAGTGCCTTTGCACCAAGTTATATTCTCAACCCTTTTTTATTTTTTATTTACTTTTCGAGTCAGGGTCTCACCATCTTGCCTATGTTGGACTCAGACTTGCAATCTTTTACCTCCTTAGCCTGTCAGACTGCTAGGATTCCATGTGTGCATTATCACCCTCAGCTTTATGTTCTTATTTATTTTTGTGGGTGGGGGGCAGCTCAGCCCGCCTGGGGGCGGGGCTGACTGGCGTGTGATGCTGGGAGATTGAACCGCGGTCCATGTGCATTGCTAAGCTTGTTCTAAGTAGGTGCTTTAGACCACTGAGCCATCTCACCAGCCCCTTCATGTTCTTTATTCAGTCTCAGGATCCTACCTCCTTCTGTCACCCACGAGTCATTGCTTGCAGTTTGCCTGTGAGGTGTGTCATCCAGCCCTTTGGTTCCTGCTCAAGTAGTCAGATGCACTCGGTGGTGTGATATTCCATCCACTTTGGATGATGAAAGGGACAACTCAGGTTAAATAGAAATGGTTACTTCCTTTTGGAATCCAGGCCAGGATGCTAAGCTGAGTTAGCACCATCAGAGAAGGAGGGAGGGCACATCTTTGGACAAAGAGGCAGTCGGGAATCTGAGGAGACATTAAAAGTTTGTGTAGTGGGTGCAGTGGTGCACACCTCTAATCCTAGCATGGAGGAGGCTGAGGCAGGAGGATCACTGTAAATTCAAGGCCAGCTAGGATTACATAGTGAGTTCAAGGTCTGCAAGCACTACATAGCAAGAACCTGTTTCAAAAAGGGTTCAGTTGACTAAGAAAAAAAAGGACTAAAATTACCAATATCAGTAATGAAAGAGGAGGCATTACTCTGAACCTTATAATTTACATATTCACCCCTATACAGAGCCCTTCCTGGTCTTTGCAGTTCAGAAGTTTATATTGTAATCCTATGGAAAAGTTACTGGAATTCGAGTGAGGTAATGCCAGTGTACTACTTCCAGTGCAAGCTATAATGAGAATAAAGACACTAAGGTGTATTTGTAGTCACGGGCCATCATGCAGTCCTGAGTCCAGCTAGGGTGGCTAACCGGAACAGAGGCCCTGACCCAGGGCTGACCAGGTTTTATTAATTCATAAAGGGGGGAGTACCTCAGAGAGATGTGACTGAGAATGGCGGGAAGTAGGTGAGTGCCCTGAGCTGGGCTGGGTAGGAGGCCCGAAGTCACCTCTGCACTAGCAGAGAGAGGATTTGCAGAAGGGGTGAGCTGCATGTCATTGTGCGAGTTAGTAGCTCATGTTTTGGGGTCTGGTGCTTCAGCGCTGGTGTGTAATGTTTGATGCCCCGGGAGTCACAGCCTCTTATCTGGAGGCAACAGCTCTGACCCGGGCTCTGCCTACCCCCAGGGGCTCACACCCACTCTTGGGGAACTGTGGGGCGGGGCAACAGTGTGCCATCACTTCCCTTCAAAGATTACACATCTGCACCTGGGCTGGCTCACTTTGCTTTGCTTGAAGCCAATTGAGAGCAATAAGGAAAAGTCCTAGGCAGCTAGGTACACATCAGTACCTGGAAACAGGGCCGGGTTTGGCCAAAGTGAGATAATTTCACTTCTTTCAAGGAGCTGTCCAGGTGGTCCTCCACAGACCTCAAGAAATCTCTCTCTCTCTCTCTCTCTCTCTCTCTCTCTCTCTTTCTCTCTGTGGAAGGTAAAAAAAATAAAGTGCTTGCAAGGTAAGCACTTATTCTGCTGAGCTATCTCCCCAGCCCAGAAATTTCTTACCTCTTTACACTCATTCCTTATTGATTCCATTTCATAGTACCCCCTTATACTTTTCTTTAGTTTGGTAAGTTTTGTTAGTTACAACTCAATTTTTTTGTTTTGTTTTGTTTTTTGTTTAAGAAATGAAAGCCTAAAAAACAAAAAGAAATGAAAGCTTAACATGTTGAAACAGGTCATCCGGGCTGCTGCTGCCCAGAGGGGAAGTCGGAAGGCGCTGTGGGAACTCTGGAAGATTACTCAATGCTTTGTACCAGCCTTGTCTCTGGCTGTGTGTGACTTCCTCTCCTGCTTCCGTTACTGTCAGCAGGTTCCTAACATGAAATTTCATGAATGTTGAGAAAGAAGTGGCACAA